TTAGTGTTACAATTTGCATGGTCTTGCAAATTGGTCAGGTTTGCTTTTGATTTTGTAAGGTTTCAAAATCATAATGGAAATCTCAAGCGGGATTTGCTTGGGGACTGGATGTACACCGGGGAGGTGGAACCAGTATACATACTTGTGTTTGTGATGTTCATTTTCTGAGATTGCCATTCTTTCTTTGCAATTTATAATCTACTTTGCAAATTCACCCTCTAGTGTTTAAGTGTAAAGCTTCCGCAGATTTTTATAAGAGCGCACCCTATTCTTAAGGGTCACGATCCTACACTTGGTATACATAAGCAAAACAAGACCCTACAGCCTGCAGACCCAGCTCGCCTGCAAGCTCGCCTGCAGACCCAAGCTGCAGACTCACCAGCTCACTGTCAACTGTCCACTTAGAGTATGGGAACAGTTACATCAGTGGTCAAATCCCACAAATCAAGGGAGAAAGCATGACGCTCCTCACCTAGCAAGAATAGGACGACTGACAGGACCCCCTAAGTGGTTACATCTCACAGCTAGGGTGGCTGACAGGACCCCCTAAGTGGTCACATCCCACAGCTAGGGCGGCTGGCTCCCTCGCCTCTATTAGTGATCAAATCCCACGAATCAAGGGATGGCCCATGCCATCCCTTGCCTATTAAAACCCATCTTCAGCCAGCATGAAGGGAGGATTGGCTGTTGCATATTCTGCTGGCTAATCTCCCAAAGGTTGAACCTGGACTTTTGCCAAAGGCTCCCTCATTTGAGAACCGAAGCTCCGGCAGCAACTTCGATCGGATCGTCCAAGGGAAGCAGACTCGGTACGAGCACCGAGAGAGGCGTCCTATCGCCACCGAGGAACCCACGTTAAACAAGGAGGGCATTCCCTCCGCTTCTGTTGTAAATATTTGATTATTAGTTTGTAATAAGCTGTTCTTATCAATACAAACGAAATCCCCGTTTTCGGGAGATCAAAATTTACACCTACAGTTAAAGATGGAAGAAGGTACTGTAATTCAAGACCACATCAATGCCTTTAATCAGCTAGTTTGCCAACTTATGAATATTGATGAAGAGATCAAAGAAGAAGAGCAGGTACTACTCCTATTGTCTTCCTTACCGAAGTCGTACAAGCCGTTAGTTCAGATGATAATTGCAGGGAAGCAGATTTTGAAGTTCGACGATGTGACAGCACTCTTACGTGAGAATGAAAGAATGATGGGAAAGGAGAGCGCATCTAATGGGTGAGAGTGCACTAGCTTTTGAAGGTTCTAATCGATGGAGGAGTACTGGGAGATGTGACTGTTATCGAGGAAGGTCAAAATCTCGGGCTCGAGACGACAGCGAAAAGGAGTGCTATTATTACAGAGAGAAGGGTCACATTCAGTTCAGATGTTCCCAGATGCGTGATGATTTGAAGAGTATTAGACATATGAAGCTTCAAGAAAATAGGATGAAGACGGACTCCTCAGTGGTTGTGTGTGATGAAGATGTGGTTTTATTGATGCAGAGTACAAGAACTGATACGAGTAATACTTGGGTGTTAGATTCTGCAGCCTCTATGCACGTTCGCAACAACAAAAATTATTTTAACACATTGAAGACGGATGAAGAATTTGACGAAGTGATTGTTGGAAACAACGAGAAGGTGAAGGTTGAAGGTGTTGGAAGTGTTCGCCTCAAGCTTCACACTGGGAAGGTCGGAATTCTTCATCATGTGAGATATGTGCCGACATGTGGTGCTAATTTAATTTCGTTAGGTGAGATGGCATCACGTGGGTACAAGTATGTGGGTGAAGAAGAGTGGTGCAATGTGTATAGAGATGATGATTTGATTTTGTGAGGGAGGAAGAATAGCAATCATATTTGCTATTTAGATGGGCGATCCATTAATGGTGCAGATTACTCTTCTCAGACTCTTGTCTACAAGGGAGACGTGAAAGAACAAGAAAAAGAGAGTGAGTGTTTCTGAAGTCGTTGAGACACTTGGAGATTTTTCGTCGAGGGAGGATATGTTGAGTATCTACTCAAACTCCAAATTAGGATAGAGTTTTTTAATTCTTTGTATAAATTCATGAGAATTAGATAAGGTTAGGGATCTATCATGATTAGGAGTTTGGATTCCATCATGATTGGAAGTTTGAATCTTATTCTAATTAGGAAGTTAGGCTAGAGATAGGGTTTTGGTTTCTTTACATATATATCCTTCTATTGTTAGAGGAAAAAGAAGGAGAAGAAGAAGAAGTGTAGAGAGAAAGAGAGAGAGAGAGAGAGAGAGAGAGAGAGAGAGAGAGAGAGGATTTGCCAGTCTTTGTCCGTGCAAAAGATTATAATTTGAAAGTGATAGTGGATTGATTTTGATCCCGTGGTTTTTCCCCGTTGAGGGTTTTCCACGTTAAATCTTATGTGATTTTATTTGCTGCGTTTGGTGTTTTTTAGGGGTTTTTACGAGATCTAAAAATCCCTAAGGGGGGTGTTAATTCCTAAGGAGGGGCATTATTGTCCTTTCATGTATTTTTTTAATACCATTAGTTAAATTTAAATAGTTACCAACTCAGGGTATTTTTTTGCTATGTTTTATAACTTAGGGTATATAAATGCTACAAGAGTGAAACAATAGGATATATAAATGCCATTTAACCAAAATACAATAACGTGGAGTACATTCTGTTAAAGTGTCCAGAAATCAAAACCACTCTATTTTGGGAAAAAAAATTTTAGCGGCTTCATTGAGCACCTAAGAAATTTTTCTATTTTGAAGTGATTTTATAGGAAAGCTGATAAGCTGTCAGCAGGGAGATGGAAAAAAAAAAAATTATAAGAAAAACCAACACTTCGTGCTCTGCCCTTTTGTGAAACATCAACAACAATAATTTATATGATTTTCACTCAAATTAGCGCCTTAATCTTTCTTTTTTTAATGAGCCCCTAAATTTGTACTAAAAAAGAAATAGCCCTAAAATCATTGTAATTAGTATTACGCTCCTGTTTTTAAAGAATTTCAAACTTAGTCCTGCAAAATATGTGATTAGATCTCTCAATTCTTATAAGTTGTCTTAAATTAAAGTCTCCAATTGCTATTTTTACTCTTGATTGGAGGTATTAATTTCAAAATAGTCTAATTGTGATTTAGGTGCTACTTTCAAAATTATGAAGGAATTAAGAGACTTATATAAGGGGAAAAAATCTTAAGAAAATTTTATCATTTTTCAAAGTTAAATTTTTTGTGATACTTTTGGGCAAAATAAGAAACATTGGGTATTAACAATGACGTAATTTTGGAGTGAGGTTTGGGCAGTGGGGTAATTATGTTAAAAACAAAGTAACTTTCAGGTATTTAAATGCAAAAAAATCATATAAAAATAGTATCAATTTAGCTAAAAGATAACCTTATTATGATAATATGATCTTTTTGTAACTATTACTTTTCCGGAACCTATCATGCAAGCCAAACAAAGATTAAGATTCGTAATGGAATCCAAACCACACAATGTAAAACCCCAAATTAAAAGTAATGAATTGGACTACTACTTTCCATTTATTGTCATAAATAGCCAACTTCCCTACAAGCATCCAAACAGCCCATTCGTTAAAGCATAAAACCTCTACTTTGCAAATACCCGTGCACGCAAGTCACTCAAAGATTTTAACAAACTTAAGCTCCGTTTGGATACCATGGTGTTTTACTTATTTCCATGGTGTTTTTGCCAAAAACAAAACACTATGTGTTTGAAAACCATTATGTTTTTTAAACTAAATCATCCTCAAACCAAAAACACAACAGTTATTTCAAAACACCTAAAATGTGTTTTAAGTTTGGTGTTTTGGGTTTGAGTTTGAGAATGTGTTAATATAACATCTAACATAATATATTAAATATAATTAACATAAAGTTGTTATCAACATGCTTATTATATTATACTATACTATTCTACATTATAGTTAATCTAATATATTAGTAATATTTATTAAAAAATATGAAAATATAATAAATAAAATATCTTATATAACAATATAATAACATATTAAATACTAGTATTTAATATGGTAACAATGTATTATATAATATTAAATAATAATAAAATATAAATAAACTAATAAAAAATAATAATAAAAGTTATTAATAATAAATAATAATATAATAGTATGCTACACAATAGTATAATCGCTATAATATTATTAACTTTTTAATAAATAAACCGTAATAAATTAATAATTATAAAATATTGTATAATAATAACATATTTAATAATAACATAATAATATAATAATAATATTATAATAGCATATTGTATAGTAAATATGCTAAAATATTAATATATAAATAATAAATACAATAATTTTTGCTAACAAATGTTAATGTAAAAATAATATTATTCATATATACAATATTTTATATCATGAAAAATATTTATTTAGTACTTGATTAAGAGGAGCCATCAATATATTAGATAAATATTAATAATTACTAATATATTAATTATATTGAATAATAACTAATAATAACATATATTAACATAATAATAGTATATTATTTTCATGTCAATAATAGTATAATATTATATTAAATATAAATAACTTTATTATAAAATATTAATATATAAATAACAAATTGATATATCAAGATAATTAAATATATAATTATTTAAAAATAATATGTAATAATTATAATATAATATAACTCATCAAGTACAATATAATATTATAATACATTATACAATTTTATATTACATTATATTTAATACTTCTAATACTATAATAATATAAACTAAATATTATAACATTTTATTTATAATATATATTATTATAATTAATATATAATATATTAATGATATGTTTAATACTAACGTTGTAAAGAGTCAAACTCGTGTTGACTAAAAATACTTAACATGATATTTTAAAAACGTTTTAAGAGAAACACAACACCATGGTGTTTTTTTACAAAAACACAACAAAAAAAAACCATGGTACCCAAAAAAATCCTCAAATAAATATTGCTCTAAACATTATGCTACGGTTGAAATAACAATCATATTAAGTTAATAAATTGAAGAAAAAAAGGGGAAATGAAACAATTTACTTTAACCATTCATCACCGTCTCAATACAATACATAATGTTACAAAATTGTTTATAATTAGAAATTCCAATGCCTAACTACCTCTTTGAATTCTTATTCTTGTTTTTATTGGGACCCCTCTTTCTCGAACTAGTCTCGGGCCCTTCTTCTTCTTCAGCCTTTTGTTCAGCCTCCAATATTGCCAACTACAACGTGCAGAAGAAAAGAGAAAACATAGTTGAGGGGGGAAAAATCATATAAATCATATAAATCGAAAATGATCAGACTGGTTTGAAGATGAAACGAAGAAGTAATTAAAACCTCATCAAGGATGGGCTTCAGCTCCTTGTATCGAACCTCAGCGAGATCAAATCCATCTTTCCGGAGCTCCTGAAGGTCCCAAGTTCGTGTAGGAAAGAGCAAAAGAAAGTACTTTAAAAAGATGAAAAATAAATAAACCCACACCTATCTTTCAGTTTAAATATGATGATGTTCCACAAGGAACCTTGGTGAGGATATCAATTCTACACAATTTAATATTGCATGGTGAGACCCGGAAAGTAATAGAATGAATACTAAAAATCATAACAGGGGATGTGCAAATGGGATACCTGAGGAATAAGGAGTGAAGAACAAGAATTCTAAAATTTTCACTTAAGCCTGGACTCCAGGGATAGTAGTAGAAACAATGAATGTGTTTGAGAAGATTAAATTGTAGAAGATTTACTTGAAGTCATGTTTAAACTATGTGACATATATTACTGAGATTAGAAGGTATTAAACGTCTCTAGGATCAAATTGTTTTAAGCATCAGAATAGCGTGAAGGCAGCAAGTGAGAACAGAATAAGTACATTGGTTTAGATACTATACCGAGGAAGTAGCACCAAAGGAGAATTATGATAACTGTTTGAAGGAAGTTAAAACTACCCATTACGGAGGGGCTGTGCTAGATGAAAACCAAAACTTTCCAGTCCCTTCTATCGTGAAGCTAATTTGGGGACAGAATTATTGTATTTAAGCATTAAAAAAATTACTGACACAAAGGAAAATTTGAAGCAACAACCATGTTCTGCGAAGAAAACTAGTTTCAGTTTAACTGACCTTTCCAGTATGCTGGGTGTGCTCGTGTGCAGCCATTTGCCAATACATGCTTGTCCTCTTGTAGAAGTCCCTAAGAGTCTCCCCAGGCTTCACAAAGAATGTAATGGAAGGAAATGAATAAGATACTATGAGAAGTGATAAATACTAAGAGATGCTTTTAAAAATAGACTCATTACTGGCGAATTAGATAAGAACAGTTGTTATGATGATAAGAGAAGTATATAAATGAAATACAAATACAAACCAAGGTTCCCTTCCACAACATTGTTGACCTCGGAAGTATTAAAGCTAAGCACAAGCTTTATTACCAAAGAAGCTGAAATGAGAGACGAAATAGTTCAATGAAAATACACTGATTTTATTTTTATTTTTATTTTCTATTTATATTTTTTTGAGCAATTGATTTGAGAGCAGTCAATAGTTTACTGATGGCTTGTACATATGGCCGAAAAGTAAAGGGGGAAAAAGGATTATTTTCATATAATTGTAATATCTGTAACAGACCAGCTTAGGTCGTCAACTTTCTAGGTAGGATCAAGGTTATTAAACTCAAAAAGGTATCTACAGGTCCCAGAAATACTTTCCTTTAAGTTCGAGAATTAAAAAAATGTCATTAGAATCATATACATTTACGACTGTACATTAAATGAGCTACATAGATACAGAACATGTAAATCACCAGTAGAATATTAAACCGTTTATGGAATTGTGACCAAATCACGGAATAACTGTATATATTTTGAAATTCCTTGCATATTGAGTTCAAAGGGATTTGTTGACAGGATTACGACAAGAAGAACCTAGAAGAATTTAGACTGAAAGGGAAAACTTGTCAATTATTCTACCTAATGAAAGATGTCTCACCACAATATTTACAACCACTCAATCATCATCATGCAGCAGCTTGCTGATTTGCATCAATGAAACTCTAAACATGCTCTAAATGTAAAAGTAAATTATGGGGCAACGACGATCTATTGGGTTCGAATGCAAAAAGGTACTCAAACCATTTAAACATGCAAGTGACTCACTTTGGTGTAAAAGTAGCAACGAAAATAAGATGACAGGTTGTGAACAGTGTTGTATACCATGGAATTTGAGACTATACAAGTGTCTGTTATGTGTATACAGGCTTTTGGCACAGAAAAATGGCTGCATGCTGCCACTTATGCCTCGGAGATAAAAATGCAGCAGCAAAGGATGAAAATAGCGCGACGGATGAAAATGGATGGATCAGCTTAAATTCTTAGAACTCAAATTCAAGCCACAGTCAGTTCTGGAAGAACACATCAACAGAAAAGGCCCTGGAATGTTCTGGAAGTATTAAGTTCCACATGCTTGTTATGTTCCTTTATCATATAATTTTTATTATTATAAACATTTCACATATATTATAAAATTTATTTTGCAGTCCGTGAAGAATTCTTGTAGTAAGTTAGTAACAGGTTAGGTTTGATTATGTCATATGCAAATATACATAAGTGGCCTTGTAGTAAAAGGTTAGGTTTGATTATTGTCATATGCAAATATAAATTAAGAGGCCTGGTACTAAATGGTTAGGTTTGATTATTGTCATATGCAATTATACATTTTCCCATCTTTTAATATACTTAAGAGGGACAAAAAATCACTGAATCTATCTGTCGGGAATAATATTTCATCGGACATAAATGTTAGAACAACGACCATTCTGTCAAGTTCAAAATTTTGCTGATATCCATCTCAAGCCATACCAAAGACCACTTCAGTTCTATTGCGAGCGTTCAATATTTTTACCTGTATACTTGAGCAACAATATTTTAACACATTACCATTTCCATCTAGTAAACATTTGAATACTCTCTTACTAGTTACAATTATCAATGAGTTTTTCTGTGGATGGATGGTCTTACAACTCATATTAAAACTTCTGAAATTTGGCATGTCTAACTTTAAATTTGGCATGCCCAACTCTTCCCTGCACATTGATGCTTCCATTCTTGTGCCTAGCTAATATATAGATTTGAATAAGAGTTTATGCTATGGATGCAATATATCACAATAACAATGAAGGGTTGATGCTATGGATACAATTTATTCATCAATGAAGGGTTGATCCTGTGGATATAAAGCTAAAATCAGGCACCAAAGGTTCAAAGTTAAGCCTAGAAGAAATTTTAATACTTTGGGATGAAAATGAAGTACCATTGGAGTTCTTTGTGAATCCGAAAGGCCAAGGGTTACTCTTATTTGGTCGATCCTAGCACGCTTCTCTTTTCGACGCAGATTCTTCTTCTCACCTTTTAAAATTGAAACAGCACTTTCTGCGTCTAGAGTCTTTTCAACTTCATCCTCAGACTGTGAAAAAGAATAAGAACATTACTAGATATGACTGTAATAACGAGAATTCACTCCACAGGTAACTGAGTAAACAACTAAGAAAAACACATAGAATTAATTTTCAGATAGTGTGTACCATTGAAAAGACAGTATGTAACTATGTAAGAAAAACCAAAGTGATAAGTAAAGAAGAAAAATATTCTTCAGTGATTTCTTTACTGAAAAAGTAGCATAATAAGACAAAGCAAGAAGATTTTCAAGAGGTGGAAATAGATAGAAATAAGATGCATTCTGTGATTATTTGCCTTTTACCAGTATATCCTCGCAATTTTTATGTAAATATTGGAACTTGTTTATGTTTCTTTTAGAGAGAAGGAACGTGTTTTGGCAAAAGCAAACTGCTATTCTCAGTTATAAGAATGTGCGCGCTAGTAAAATTAATAAGAATTTAGAAATTTCATTCTTTAAGTGTAATTTCTTTTTGGTTCATACTTCTCAGAAAGATGGTGACTTGATGGCAAGACAGAAATCGTAACACAAGCAGGCCACTCCAGAGATATAACCTCCAGACACTTGATGTAGAAGAAGCATTTAAATTGAGCCATGTAAATGAAGTTGCCTTTGTAGATGAAAATTGATAAATGCTGTTTTATAGCAAGAGGAAATAGAGGTACATTAACTTTCATGAAAGAGGATGACAATTTACTTACAGACAACCAGCACATATTGTACTGTAGCAACGGCAAATTTGCAATGTAATGGTATACTACAAAGACAACCAAGTAAGGAGGAATTCTCTACTACAGCAATGTCTCCTTTACAGTCCCCCACAAAATGTTTCTGAAGGATTCACCAAATAGTTATTCTGATCTAGGTTTATGCTGTTCTGGCACTGGTGTTCATACTTTGTTACTATATTAAATGTAGACAGATCAAGAAATGATGGCCATGGCTATGTTTTAGGTGGAAAGCTTTATACAATCTAACATCTTTTGCATGTTGCATGTCCACTACCAACTTAGTGATACTGTGAAATCAGTTGTTTAGGTGCTTCTCTAAATTTAGCATGATCCGCCTCCATCGTTTGAAACTATTTGATCAATATGAACTTATCAAATCATAAGAATTAAAAAGGAATTTTACCATATCTTCGTCGTCTTCATCAGACTCATTGCAGCCACTTTCATCACCGCTTTCTTCTTCTGAATCACCATCATCTTCATCCTCAGAAGCTTCTTGCCATTCAGATTCAGATGCCTGAACTTACAGGGGAAAATGAGATTCATTTTAATGAAACTTGACCAACAGTCCGCATTAACATACTTAGATGTAGTTATGTTAGAACTTTACTTTCAAATATAAACACTAAGAACCAAAAGAATGTTTCCTTTCCCTGACAAAAAACAGCTGACTTATTTTTGAACTAGGAGAACAATCTTCTTTTCTCTTGGGTGATTAGTAGAGGGCAATGATCAGGGGTAGGTACAGAAGTCACAGCCTTTGACAATCTATGAAGCAGTTCAGGAAGACCAGACTGAGGGTAGTAATGTGTAAAGAATAATGTTTAAAAGCAACACGATTAGAATTTAACGGTGAAAGATGCAGGCCATTGAACTTGACCAACTTCTGAGTTAGCAACAAGAAAAGGTTATACGGTTACATCCAGAAAATCAATAACTTAAAGTCTTGTTGGGGTCATAATGGAGGAAGAATCATGGATATACGATATGACTAACCGCTAGTATGCACTTCCATTCGTCAAGTTTGCTGAGGTTAAGTGAGTACAAATCATCAAGTGTGATCTCTCTATCTCTGACTTCCATCATCCCTCCATACACAAAGAGCGTATCTCTTCCCACAACCATGCAGGCATTAATACGTCCACAAGGCTTCACTATCTACAACTTTCAAAAGGTGGTTACTGGATTGAAACAAGCCGTAAGTATAGAACAAAATTTTTTATACAACTAACCTCTACTGAAGTGCAGCCTTGGAGACAAGAACTACTACCACCCAGCCCCTGTACTTTCACATCAGATACTTCTTTAGAGGAAACATCATTGCAGGCAAGAGATTTGGTCATTTGATGGGAGATTTCTTGCATGTCACATTGCATCTCCGTTGCTTCCTCATCATCCTCCATATTCTCATCATCATTCGCTATAGACATCTCAAGATCATCTTGGATGCTCTTATTCGACACGACCGAGCCCTTTGATGATTCAGATTTATTTGACGCTTTTAACTGCAAAAGAATGATACGAGCATAGTGTGACATGTAAGCAGACATATTACGAGAATAATAGATATTCATCACGAGCAGATTTCAAAAGCCTTAAAAAAATGAAGTGCACTCAACATTTTCGTGCAATTAAATGTTTTCTAAAACAAAAGAAGAGCTATGTGCCTTTATTAGTCAATAAAACCAAAGTATGTTTTCTCCTAGAGTCCTAGTTTACCGATCTAAGGAGAGCATGTTTTAGTCCCATTACCCAATATTTACTTCCAAAACCTTCTCACCAGAACATGTTGAGCCACATTAGCGTAATAAGCAGGCATCTGAATTTATATCTTTGATTTCAGCATAATAACAAAGAAATGCCAGTGAGAAATAGTATGTACAACATAGCATTTACTGCCAAAAATTTTCGACAAACAGTTTGCGGAATCAAAACCAGTATGTGCTACGCAAAAGCATAGGCAGACTTCATGAAAGAAATGCAGCTCCTGTCAAGGATAAAGCTAACTTAAATGGTTCAATGCCGTACATTTCAGAAACATCATTACAAGTGAATAATCAAACTATGTTAGTACACAAATCATCTGAATATGAGAAGCCCTAGCCATAAACAAGTTTAAAGAATGTAACAAAACACACATACAGATGTGTAACATAAACTTGAGCTTTTGAAGTCTGCACAGCAGAATTACTTTTATTTTTTAATTGTTTTAAAGAATGATGAACATTAAGCCAGATAACTAACTTTATAGGTTAGAAATATCATAGTAAACTATATAAGATCACAGCTGTTTGACAACTACATAATGAATATTAGTAAATGTGCACATCATAAAAATTTTGGCCGTGAGAAATATTCAACAGTGATTCTTTTTTTTTTTTGTAAGTAAGGCTGTTTAGAAGTTGGCAGAAAAAGATACGCATTCTACTGACTAAGATGGGTATTGCGCAACAAAAACCAATCCATAAGCTAAATTTCAGCATGAGAAGCATTGTTTGAGAAGTGGTATAACAAACATTTCCTAATACCTGAAAGTTTTAACAGAGGTTATATTAAATGTTTCAAGATAGTACCTTGCCTTTAGTAGATTTCTCCTTCCGCAGCTCCAAAGGATACCTAAGATGAAGCAGATAAAGATTTTGAGAAAAAAAATTGAATTCTTTATTGATAAACGCAACAGTAAGTGCTCTGGACAGTTGATGTATGTGCAAAATACATAGTGTTATATTATGAATGTTCAAACAGTTGCAGCATATAACTTACAAGCTACTTATTATATGATTATGTGCATGTCTTTATTGTTACTTTAGCTGCATAGTTTATTCAACAGTTTAATTTATAATCGACTAGCTTTATCCACTAATAGAGGAAACTCAAATAGGTTAAAATCTATCCTCCAGGAATAAAAACTTAGGTCAAGTCGGACTGGGTACTGAAAATCCCATCATGATAGGACCAAAATAATCAAAACATAACAAAACACCACGATTGCCTATACACAGGAAAATCTTAAGCATACTTCATAGAAACTCAAGTTTTTTTTCCACCAACAGAACAACATGATGAGCTACCCCAGAGGTGTACTATTCATGCTGTACACCTCATCGAATGCATATAGATAAAAAGTTATGTTATTCTATGATCCTCCAACCTATCCAGCGGTAAAAGCAATATGATGAAGTCATTTAATGTTGGTCATGTAATTAGACAATCCACTTCTTGGAAAGAGGAGAACTTAAAATCAATTCTAGGGAATATATCTTTAAGCATCAATATTTCATGCAAACCATGCACATGACCTACAGACTATAAATTTTCAAAGATGGTAGTTTAAGTTACTTGATGCTAATACCCAATATCTAATATCATGAAAAAAGTTACAACACAATCATACAACGATAGAAGAGAGAGACTTTCTGCAACAAGAATTGTGTTGAAAACTGGTCTTCTTGCATGGTAAATTTCATACATTACCATGAAAGCATATGCTAATCGTGTTACATCTGTCACAGTGAATGCGTTGGTCCTCTCTCTCCATGTTCACAGAAATCATGTGCTTCTCTCTCTAAACATATAAAGATACCCAGCTCTGTGCAGAGTTGTACATTGTTTCTCTTGGATGTATAATGAAGCTGGTTAAATAATTACACTTCTTGACACCTAAATTAAGATTATGCAGATCAGGAAGTGCCTTTAATAGAACTTACCAGCGACGGTTATCCAATTGGAAGCCGTAAAGCTCATTTATAAACAAACTCATCAGCACATCACCTGAAACAAATAAACAAACAAATAAATAAATTGCCACAGGTACTAGAATATCAATTCTGCATACAGTCAAACCCTTCTAACCATTTAATTGGTTCCTGTGCATTGATACAACATCCAAATCTAATCTGTATACGCTTGATTAAGAATTATGCATCCACACAACATTAGGACCATGCTAAACTATAAGACAACGTTTACAGCCAACCTCATGAATGCATCATGTATCTTACATCATTCCCAAAACAAACCCGTCGAGCATAAGATTTCAGCATTTCGTAGAATCATATTTACATTGCAATTCTCCGGAATTAGCTAGATGGAAAAACCAACTTCTTCTAGATCCAAGACTGACCTTATTAGTGATGCAAAAGTAAAAAGGCCAGAAGATTTGATCTAGAACCATGGTAAGCTTAATCACAGAGGTTCAAACTTCTAATGCACTCTCCCCTTTCAATGTCTTGAATACGAACTCTCATGTAGGACAAAGTACTCAAACGCTAAAGTGTAAATCTTCCACACTGCTAATGCGATCAATATCGGACCGATACATATCATACCTTTCTACAAATAACAGTGGTGCCCATTGATTCTCCTTACTTGCTGTGAAGAAAAAATTATACCAATATTGAAATTAAAATATTATAAAGTGTATTGCTAAATCTAGTAGTATCTAATCTATTGGGTTTATAAAAGTGTACTACCATCTTAAAACATTTCTTCTCAAAATGCCCTCCAAAACACATACATACATACATAAAACACATATGTTCATGCATAAAACACACGCATCCATATACATACATACATACATACACAAACAACACCCCAATTAAATTAATTTAAATGCAATGAGTACAGCTCCAAATATACTATATTAACAGTTATAAAATTAAATTAATTTTATAAATTTGGTATTATTATTATTTGAATGAGTTAGTGGGTAAAGTTAAACCCTCTAACAGTGTTATCAATGCACAAAGAGCAATGCGGGGCGCAAAGTCTCTTTATGCATGGCTATGCGCGCGCCCAAGTGAAGCGAGGTGCACATCACACACACAATTTTCAAGATGGTTATCAAGCACGAAAGAGCATGTTTACATATCTTCACATAAAGTATGTCAAGATAAACAACATCTACCATGAAATCACAAAACAAGGTCTTAATTTCCTATGCTAACACATCCAACATAGAGCAAAGTCCATAAATTTTCAAATCAAGAGTCAAATCAAGACCAATATTGAAGTGAACTTATGGTCCTCAATCTGGCAACTAGAAATGCCTAACAGTTTTATTTTGCTTTTTAGGTATGAGTCATTGGGTATAAAGGCCCGATTGAAATGTTAAAGAACAAACTACATGTGGCTATGCCTAGCATGTGCCCTACATGAAGCACAGGTCACGTGCGAGGTGTAAAAAGCGTTGCTGCATCAGATGCAGGACGCTTCGACATTGCCCCACTCGTAAGGTGCATGAGGCACAGTGATCTGCTAGCCTTTGAAAACACTGCCCTTCAATACTTATTAATCCCAAACAAACCTAATCTGCAATTTCTGCAAGCAAACAACAAATCACTCATTTTAAATTTTGAAATATAAAGTTTACAATTTTTAACACTATAAATAGTATTAGAACAATAATATAAAATTAGTGAATTATTATCATATAGTATGTAATTATTGAAGAAGAAAAGTTTGCATCCAAAATAATAATAATAATCACCCACTAATAACCTTCTCCACATTGATAACCTATCCTATAATTACCTATCAACTTTCTACTTAATCACTCACCCATAACTGCTCTATAAGGTACCCTTAATTTTATGATAAGTATCTTTTCAAATAAGTTTACCCAATTAGAAGACTCTAAGCAGCTTTTCAACGTCTAACGATTAATCTTCATCTTAATAATTATCCTTAAACTATTTCTTACTCTGTATTTTGCCTTCCAAAATCATCTCAAGAACCTCCCTTTCTCAACAAACATCTACTGGGATCGTCGCCTTCCCATTGCTATTGTCATAGCTTACTCGATCTCACCACTCGATTCTCCGAAGCTGTCGCGTCATCCTCCTCTACCGCGCATTAGTATACTCATATAGAGGAAGAAGAAGAAAAATGTTAGTCCCATCTTCTTATTCCCCACTCCTATTGTTTTTAATTTTCTTGCACAAACAATATAAAGAAAGAAGAATTGCTATTTTAAAAATATTTCATAGATGTTTTCTAACCATTTTCTGCTAGAAGTACTTCTTTCCTTCTTATCTCAAGGTATCCTTTCCTTATTTCCCTCAAAATTGTTTTCGTTTATAATAATTTTTTTACTTAAAAATATTTATTTATTTATTTGGTAGGAAGACAAATAGGTTTAAGGTTGTCATGAGAAATATGAAAATGGACTCACAGCAATATTTGTCCCCACATAAAGTATTTGATACTCCCACCATTACTACAATTGCTAGGCCTTAGAATTGATTTTTTTGGTATGTATATTTATTGTTTGATTTATATGTAGGAATGTGGATTAACATGAAATTGTGGATCAGAGTGGACATCAAACAGACTCATGGTGATTAATGACAATAGAAGAAACAATCGGTGAAAATTAAACAAGGCCATACCGCAACTTCACCGTAATAAACCTAAGAAGCTTCAATCATTTTCATCCCCATAATACACTCATAGAAATATTATTAGATATGCTAAAGGAGAAAGATGTTGATTTATCTTCTAATAATTAGTATGACAGCTAAAGATGGCACAATCTCATAATCTTCTTATGTTGTGTGCGTGATCAAGTTGTACTTATCGCAAATCATTCTTACGCATCTAGCAAAATGAGAAAATAAATTCTTAGTGATAGCGATCTTTATCAATGATCTAACCAAGCAAACCTACATTTGTTAAAGATTGTATATGTTAATAACAAGGATATTGTAAGCTCTCGAGCGTCTGAGTTGATTCTATGACTAATGCCATTAAATACACAAATGAGGAGTGGTAAAATTATGATTAATAGATAAAGAAGAACTAGAGATAGACCTAATAGTAGTTGGATAGAAATAATTAAAAAAATATGATAATGCTTAGTGGAGAAGAGCCCTCAACAGGACCAAATAGAAAGTTTGATTTAGATACATATAACCTATCACGAAATTTTGAACAAAAGTTGTGTTGGTGTCATTGAGTCACAAATAAATTAAGAATGTAAAACATGAATTTCCACATGCCATGCACGTGCACCAAATTTCATCCCGACATTTTTCCAATACACACTATTCTAAAAGAGTATCTCATGTTAAAAAATTTCGCCCAAAAATGCCCCAAAAATTTCATCGAAATTACCAAAAATGCCCCCATTCAGATTTTCATTCAATTATTTCATCCAAAATTTTAATAATGACAAAAAATCTCATTCTATTAAATTATTTTAAAAATCAATAAACTTTTTCCCCCACACCTCACCTAAATAAACGTGTCCTCTACTCCACTGCTTCATCTACTCCACTAAGAAAAAAAACCAGTTACTTCTTTTTAAAAGCACAATAATTTTCCAACTGTTGCCTCTTCAACTTCTCTAATAACAATTCGTCTTCTAAATCTCTTTTATTTCCTCTTTACCCTTCTCTTTCTACAAGATTTCTCAATGTTGTAAAGCAAAACCTCATAACTTGCCCCATTCTTCAATTAAGTCACGATCACAAAACGATTATATGCAGGATATTGGTTTCTTACCCGAAGAGGTTAGGTTTTATAGATACCTACATATTTTTTATTCAAATAAAAACTTGTATCTTTGACAAGCATTTTATTATTTTTCAATGGCATGAGAAGGAGATAGAGAGAAAATTGATTCATACCCTGTTTCAAGAGCTTCAGAGGGCACAAACAATGAGACTCCATCCACTCTTTTCATACGATTAGTTTTCTCCTATGAGAATTTTTAGGTATTTATTCTGAAACTTATACGATTTTAAAGATCATTGTTTTGGTTTGAAGAATCATTAATGAAGAACATGAATGGAAGTGCCAAAACAGGCATAAATCAAACTCTAATAAAGCATATGCACATCAAATCTAACAAGAGCTTTCAGACATTATTGTTGACTATTGGCTTTCTCATGATGCTCAAGCCTTAAGTTATTTTGAATTTCTTTGAATTAGGGTATGATCAAGGCCTACTACAATTGTAATGTATAAATGAGAAGAACAATGTTTCCTTTGCTTAATAGCATTTTTCTCTTCATATTCATTTTGTTTTTTTATGTCATTTCTACGCAATTTGTGCATAATCAGAAGACAAATAATATCATGATACTCATCGCTATATGGTATCATCTTTAATCTCATGATGTAATTAGAATTTTTTAGTAATTGGAACTGATAAATCTCCCGCAAGTAAATGAAAAAGAGTAGCTGATGTCATATATAATATTTGCACAAAGTAAATTATGTATTCCAACAAACTTACAACAACTAAAATATTCATCATGTTGTTAAAACACAAAGAGAAGTAGTTTATAGTTAAAACATGCTACTCAATGTGTCCTTGCATATATCTAGCAAACACACTACACATGTATTTTATGCTCATCATGTTCTTCGAATATACATACTCTAATGAACTATATGTTTGGACTGGAATTTTTTATCTAATAAATGGTGGTTTTTGAGTGATTTTTTGGGTATAATAGTTAAAACTTAGGGGGAAAAGTAGCTTTGCTCAAACTGGCTATATTTTTCTCTTTGCTTCCAACATTTTCAAGTAGTGGACTAAATTTCATATTGTCAGCATCAACAATATAAATCTTCTCTTATGCATTCACGTCATAAGCGATTAAATGTCAATAATAGGAAAATGAATCTATGATATAATAAAGAGTGCCTACACCTAAAGTAATTCTTCTACAACTAAACCTAACAAGCGATTATTGACTGCAATCTTTCTCCAAACATGGAAAAAGAAAAAGCAAGATGAAGCATAGATCATGAGTTTAAAC